CCAGGGCTACGGACTGAAGTGTCTTTAGGTCATTCCCAAAGGGGTACATTAATATGTTCTTATGCACAGATGGGCTGATTCATCAATGTCATGCTCGTAACTGTGCCTGAACTGCAACAGGGAAGTGCTGCTTTTTCTTTCCTAATCCTTACTATCGTCATTTTCCTCTACTCCATGAGTATATTTGTCACACTCTAGTGACCTGCTATTTCCGGGATGTCTTGAAAGTCGAAGCAGACTTTGTGCTGTTGAATCTAGAGAGGCGAGCAGAGTAAGTCTGATTCCCTGTAAGGACATCTCTGTTGACATCCACCCCTTGGTGCTCATATGACCTTATGCAGTTGCGAGCGCCGTAAAACCTCAACTAAAACTAAACTTAACTAAGAGATTTTGGCTTTAGAAGTATTCTAAAATGTGAAAAATACCACCCCAGGGGTACAAAATGACCCCAGGGCGTACGGATTAGGTTAAAGACTCATACTAAACTAACCCCCCCCCCCCCTTTTTCCCTCAGATTCTCGAGGACTACAACGAGAACAACCAGCCCCCGATGCGCCTAGTGCTGTTTGATGACGCTCTGGAACATCTGACGCGCGTGCATCGCGTGCTGCGCATGGACCGGGGCAACTCCCTGCTGGTGGGCGTGGGCGGGAGCGGCAAGCAGAGCCTGTGTCACCTGGCCTCCTACACAGCCGGCTGCACCGTCTTCCAGATCATGCTGAGTCGGGGGTACAACGAGAGTAGCTTCAGGTCAGCCCATTGGTTCTCATCTGCGCAGTATTTATTAATTACTAGCTGAGTACCCGGCTTTGCTCGGGGTAAGTAAGTAAGTAAGTAAGTTCATTCAGTGTTTAAGGCCTGCTCGTGGTAGTCGAAAAGGGAAAGTTGCAGCAGAATGACAATGGTCAGTTTTCTGCTGAAAGTGAAATATATTATACAACAATGACAAACTTCAAAACAAAGAAACCTGCAAACTAATGAAACATTTTAGCTCAGAATAATCACAAAGGCCAAAGAAGGACGGGAACTTTTTGTCAAATATATTTTTCTAAATTCCGGAAATGAATATATCAAAAATCGGGGTCCGTCATGGGGACTTATCTTTTGGCAGGTACTTGCCAACTTTCAACTCTGTAGCTGTCCTAGTTTTATAGGGAAAGTGACACGTGTGTTTCCAAGTTGCCAAATATATTATTATAATAGATGTATTCTTTATATTTTAATATCCCCCCTTTGAATTTGGCCTTAAGACAACTGCAGTCACTAGCACTTCCCCGGTGGATTTGGGGGGGGGGGGGGGGGAGGCATATGTTTGTCGATGTGCTTCTTTTTAGGAAAACAAACAAACAAACAAGCCATGATCCTGACTCCCATCTCCTTTCACGTTCTCCAGAGATGACCTAGTGGCGTCGGTAGCCTAGACTCGTAATCGTGAGATTGCGTGTTCGGGGGTTCGAGCCTCAGCTAGGTCCGACGTTGTGTCCTTGGGAAAGGCACTTTACACGAACTTCCCACTTGGCTCGGTCCTATCGGAGACGGACGTTAAACTCGGAGGTTCCGTCCCTTAAATAACCTCATAGTGTTGATAGGGGCGTTAAACCCATACAATTTTTGCTGACTTTCAGAGATGACCTGAAGGTGCTGTACAACAAGCTGGGCATGGAGAACAAGCAGATGGTCTTCCTGTTCACAGACCAGCACGTGGCAGAGGAAGGTAGGAGGCTCTCGACGTCGTGGCCTAGAGGTTAAGGTGTTGGCCTCTCATTCAAATGTCCCGGGTTTGAATCCGGGTAGCGACCGAAAAATGTTCTTCTCTAAAATTGTCTCCTTTCACCTCCTTTCCTGCTCTCTAGCAATATTCTGTCGTCTGCTTTCGTCTCCACTTTCTGCCTCCACCCCCTCACCTCCTTTGCTTCCTCCTCTGGGCTCCTGACTCTTTCTGCAGCCTTTCTACTGCTACTCCTTGGCTCCTTACTGCTGTCTTTCAGCCACACCCCTGATCTTCTGGTAGGAAAGATCTACACCTAGCCTTCTCGGACAAGGGCGAAAAATCTCGGAGGGTCCGTGTGCAAGTTGCGCACGTTAAAGATTCCTTGGTGGTCAAAAATCGATAAGAGTAGGCTGCGGCCGCCACCTGGGCAAAAATTCAAAGTTTCCTACCTGCTTAAAAAGATTAATGTGCCCCGCACACTCTTATGATCGTATGCAGTGGCGAGCGCCGTAAAACACTTACCAAAATACAAAACAAAAAAATATTAGAAAGGTATCAGGCCACCCATTCAATTCATTGACAACAAATCACCAAGCATGCTCTGGACCTCATTCCCACCACGTCATCGAATCCTTCAACAAGTCTGTGAGTTTGAATTTACTTTTTGTTTTCTGCTGTCTCCATCGTCTACCTTGTCTCCCTTTTCTTCTTAATCTCCTACGTTTTCTCACCTTCTCCTTTTCCTACTCTTATTCCTCTGTTTCGTTCCCCACTGTTACTTTCGCCTACTTCACCTCATCCAGGTGGCGTCGGTGTCCTAGTGGTTAGGCTACCGGGCTCGTCATCATGAGGTTGCGGATTCAGGGGTTCGAGCTTCAGCTCGGTCCGACTTTGTGCAACAGCTCGGTCCGACTTTGTGCAACAGCTCGGTCCGACTTTGTGCAACAGGTCGGTCCGACTTTGTGCAGCAGCTCGGTCCGACTTTGTGCAGCAGCTCGGTCCGACTTTGTGGAACAGCTCGGTCCGACTTTGTGGAACAGCTCGGTCCGACTTTGTGCACTTTCCACAAAATTCCCATGCGGTTTGGTCCTTTCGGAGATGGGCGTTAAACTCGGAGGTCCCGCCCGTTAAATAAGCTAATAATGTTGACAAGGACGTTAAACCCGTACCAGTTCACCTCAACCATCCTCCGTGGTCTCCACCTCCTTCTGCTTACGAAGGCTAAAGTAAAGGATGGGTCGGTATGTGTGTACAAAAAAACGTGGCTGAAGCAGATTCAGGTAGACCAGGCCCATATATCGACCTCGAGGTGTGGGGGTTTTCTCTTTATGCAAATGACTTTTGAGAAACGTTTTGTCAACTAAGATGTTACCAAACACCAGATGAACTCCAACTACCAGAAAAGAAAAATCATCCAGGTGGCGTCGGTGGCCTAGTGGTTAGGTTCTCGGACTCGCGACCGTAAGGTCGTGGGTTCGAATCCCGTCAGGGGCCTGACGTTGTGTCCTTGGGAAAGGCACTTTACACGAATTTTCCTCACTTCACCCAGGTGGGAATGGGTACCCGGCTATAGACAGTGAAAGATCTTGTCAGTTTGATAGTGTTTGAGCGCGTGAAATCCGCAGCTATCACTGTATGCTTCCGCGGAAGCTGAGAATGTTTCTGGGTCTTCTGTGGTCTGCTGGGGTAATAATATACTGTAAAGCGCAGAGAGCCTGCTGTTGAGCCGGGATATACGCTATACAAATGCTATTTATCATTACTTAAAAACAAACAAAACCAAAACAAATCACAAAAAAAGAAAAAAGAAAACAACTCAAAAACATTGGAAAACGAATCGAATTAATTATCCAAGGTGTCCATGCTATGGCGTAGAGAATGAGGCAACAGAACACGTAACTTTCTATTCTACATATTTTATTGCAAGCCCGCCCTTATGAGTGTTGCCTGGCTGTGACTGGTGAAATGTGTTACAACAATTACTTACCTGAAACTCCATACGTTTTTTGTTTTTGCTTTATTTACTTTAAGATTTCTGGCCGTTTACTGTCTCATTTAATATTTTTTTTGTAAATGGTACATATTATGTTGCTTGTTTTTGGGTGTTTTTTTTCCGACAACTAATGTAGAAATAACATTCCTTGTCTCAGTACGTGGGTGGTTGGAAGGTGCCACTAGTAAGTCTTACTTCTCTCCTTTGTCCTCGGTCATTTCTGCCTGTCCGTTTTGATTGTTCCCTGAAGTAAATGGCTGTTCTTATGTCGATGTGGATCTTTTAAGTCACATAAACAGTCAAACAAGCATTGTCACAACGCGCAAGTTACCATTCGTTTTATCTTTGTTGACTATTATCTTTTTTACAATATTTATGGTTGGTGATATAACTATTTGGCTTCTTGCAGTTGCACTTACAAGTCGTGAGTTTGATTCTCATGAGGTGAAATCCATCTTATCAAGTACATGTGGCTTAGTCTTTCGCTTGGGTTTGGCCGCATTCTGACAAGGTGGAAAAAGACTGTCTTCTTCTTCATGATTTATGTCATTTCCGAAGGGTCGAAAATCATTTACGATCCAGCACATAGTCATTCTAAATTGGGGCATTTGATTGCGGTGAAGACTTCGTAAAAGGGAAAACTATATGTGAGGCAGCGTGGTGGAATCAGGCTCTCGTTAATTTTTGGGCATGTAGAGTTATTGGTATCATCCTAAAGCTTGTTCACTTGTCTTTATTTGGATGAAAATATATCCATTTATCTAGAATACAAGTCGAGATATTTGCGAATGAAGGAGGTGGGGGTCACCTGTTGTTAGAGGTAAAATTAGAGAGAAAATGGCCGCCAAAGATTAATCCTTAGCTTAAGAGTACGTGGTAACTGAAAATTTACATTTTTTGTGCCTTTAATCAACGTTTTTCAGAAAAAATTCACACAGAAATGAGTTCTTCAATGGGCACGAAAGGTGTTGAGCCAAAAAACAAAAATTCCATAAAAATTCACAAACCTGCAGAAAAATGCAAGTTTCTTCACTTTGATTATTTTGACGAGAGCCTGATTCCTCCACGCTGCCTCACATATTTTGAAGAAGCAGAAAGAACTCTTCATTGCTTTAGATTTCGGACATCTGCGAGCGAGCCATGTCTGTATTCTGCACTGGGGGCTCCAGTGGCTAAGTGAGCAGTGAGTTTAGACTCAAGTAATATCAAGCACGTGTCGGTGACACGGGGATCAGATGGGTGGTCACTGGGGTGTGTCCTTGAGCAAGACACGACAACGCTAGCTCATAATACAGGCGCTGCACAGTGGCGACCGACAGTGGCATGGTTGTAAACTGTTCCGTATTTGTGTAATATTGTGTATTTACGTATGCATTATGTATGTACGTATTTATCATCATGTATTTATGTATGTAAATGTATGTTTACCATGGTAAACCAAAGTACCCTTCCGGGACAAATAAAATTGCCATTTATTATTTTCTTATTTTTTAATTATTGTTGTATATGGGAGGCAACGTGGTGGAATCAGGCTCTCGTCAAAATAATGAAATCGAAGAAAACAGTAGTTTTCTTCCTGCTTAGCAATTTTTATCAATTTTTTTTTTTTTGGCTCAACACCTTTTATATCCATTACAAACACATTCCTTTGAGGAATTCACCGAAAACGTTGATTAAAGGCACAAAAATATAAATTTACAGTTTCCGTGGACTCTGCACCTTTGGAATTTACCAAGCTTTGGCGGCCATTTTCTCGCTAATTTTACCTCTTAAACCAGGTGACCCCCCACCTCCTTCAATCCAAAATGTCTCCATTTCTATTGAAGATGGAAGGGTATTTTTTTCATTGAAAGCAAGACAAATGAACAAGCTTTAAGATGATACCAATAACTCAATATGCCCAAAAATTGACGAGAGCCTGATTCCACCACGCTGCCCCACATATTGTTCAAAACATTCGTCTTGTCAAAGGCCCGGCTTGCACGATCTACATTCTGGTGATTCGCTTCTTGTCTTTCGTCTCGCTGTGTCTTGGAACCAGCGAGCGTGATAACAGTTGAGTCTCTTTGCCTTTTTCTAAAACAAAACAAAAATATTCTTCTACCGAGGCACATGGACCGGCATCTGTGGTGTAGCGGCTAGGCGTTTTGCTGTTGCCGGCAGGAGATCCGAGTTTGATTCCTGAGTGGGGAGAATTTTGATCAAGTCTCTCGTTCTTTTTTCTGTGGTGTTGTATCCCTCTAAGCCCGGGTTGGCTGTGACAGGCAGCGTTTGAAGCCCATATCCTAAACTATCTAAATTATCTAAATTGTGTCTAAATTGTGTCGATGAGAGGGTAAACCATTTACTTTTTTTAAAAATATTGAGACTTGTGGATCAGCACCAGAAGTGCGTGGTTGGCGGATACTCTGGTGTGGTTTTGCACCTTCTTTCTTTTCGAACAGCTATCGTCATGATCTCTCTCCTCCTTTTTTTGTGTCTGCTACTCTCTTGTCCCACCTTATATGACCGTACTGTGTTGCAAGTGCCGTAAACTCTTACTAAAACACTCAAACAAACAAACAATACCAGGACGACCACATCTGTGTATCTTTTTTGGCCGTCAGGATTCCTGGAACTGATCAACAACATGCTGACTACTGGCATGGTGCCCGCCCTGTACGCTGACGATGAGAAGGAAGGGATCATTGGATCGGTGAGTGTTATACGGGGTGTCCATTGGGGGGTCGGGTCGGGTCGGATCGGGTCGGGGCGGGTCGGGTCGGGGCAGATCGGGTCGGATCGGGGCGGGTCGAGGCGGGTCGAGGCGGGTCGAGGCGGGTCGAGGCGGGTCGGGTCGGGTCGGGTCGGGTCGGGTCGGGTCGGGTCGGGTCGGGTCGGGTCGGGGCGGATAGTTTGCTAGCCAGATTGATAGTGCAAAGCGGCTATCGTGGCCCAAGCCGATCGCGCCCAACCCGCATCCAAAAAAACCCCCAACCAAACGAGTTTGTTTTGAGACCGGATCTCATCCGCAATGGGCACCCGGTATTAGAATACTTAGTTGATTACTTGATCTTGGGTACATCATCCTAGCACTCCGGGCATTGCCATACGTACTCCGCTCCCCGCTCCGATATCCACCTCCCTCCTCTGGGTTCCTGACTCTTTCTACAGCCTTTCTACTGCTACTCCTTGGCTCCTCCTTACTGCTGTCTTCCTGCCACACCCCTGATCTTCTGGTAGGAAAGATGTACACCTAGCCTTCTCGGACAAGGGCGAAAAATCTCGGAGGGCCCGTGTGCAAGTTGCGCACGTTAAAGATCCCTTGGTGGTCTAAAATCGATAAGAGCAGGCTTCGGCCGCCACCCGGGCAAAATTCAAAAATTCCTACCAACGAAAAAGTATTAGTTGTGTCCCGCGCGCTCATATGACCTAATGCAGTTGCGAGCGCCGTATACGGCGCACCGGCAGTGGAATTTTAGTTGCCGCGGGGGGTTCCCCGCCGGGCGCCTTATCACGTCGGGGTCACGGGGGTCAGCTCCCTGTCGCCGCTTTGTCTGGGCCGACTTAATTTTTGGTACTTTTCAACGTACAATTTAAGGTGTATCCTTGTATTTATGGTAATTCTCATTTAGTGCACCCAAGGCACGCATTTCTGCTCCCGAGACTCAAAAAAGAACGGACGTTGTAACTTGTCTATGAAGTAATTCCTCCAAATACAACTTTATGTGTCTAATATAATCATGAATATTCGCATATTTTCTCGAAAGTTTATAAAAGTTATCATGAAGTTTCTCAATGAAAAGTACAAATCGATTTTAGTGCTAGAATATATCTTCAACGTAGATCTAATACACGAACAGTATCTGTTACACTCCAGAAATTGCTTACTTTTCTTAAAACGCTAATTCTAGGTTTTGTAAGTTGACTGAATAATAGGGATGACTTCTCGTAATTGGGTTATAAGAATAATTTCTAGCTTTCCAGGGACACTGAATCAGCACCAGACTTTTCCAGCTTGTTTTACGTTTCTATGACCATTTGCAATAAGTGACAATGTGACTTATTTCTTTACATTCATAATTGTGTCCGCGCATATTTCCTACACAAAAACTAAGAATGAATGTTTTAGCTGTCATTGTTTTTATTCCATACTAGAAGTTTATCTCTACCCATGTATTTACACGGTTTTGTGGTTTTTTAAATCGCTTATATTATATCTTTTTAGTTGTATGCAGGCTGCCACAGACAGAGCATGATTCATGAACAAACGCAGAGTAACTTTCTCTTGTTTAATAGTAAAATAAGAGCTAACGCTGATCGTCTTTAGTTAAAATATGCAGATGTGCATCTTTCTTCTCTTATAACTTGACTATTACTACTCGCGCAGATTTAAGATTTCTCATGGTAAAAGACATGATATTCGTAGTCAGTTTAACACAGAATTTGGAGAGATCTGTCGTGCCTTTTTTAAAATAACAATCATTTATTCATAACTTTGTAACTAAAATAGGACAAATTGGGTACTCTACAAACACTTGTCTAGAACAAAAACTAAGGCACAGAAACTAACCATTCTAACGCAGAATAAATCTCAAGACATTGAGCTTTTAGTACATCCGCGTAATGGTTTGCTGTGTGGGATGGGGAAGAAGTTATATCGTTTTAAACATAGTCAAAAATGCGAACTTCCCGACCGACACCGGCAAAGTCGCCTCAGGGCTCATTAACCCCGTGACCCCGAGCAGGGGAGCTCCGGCGGGCTGCTGAGTCACGCGAACTAAAAGTAACAGAATCGGGCGAAAAGTGACGCCGTGCGTAAAACACTTTACAAAAACAATATCCACCTCAGAGCCCGTCTGCTGATCGTTCCGGTGTTGTTTTGAAGATATCAAGCATCGTTAGATCTATGATATTTGGACATTTCTGTCCACTCAGAGAATAGTCTTTATTTTCAAAAAGCTGTATTTGATTTTTGATTAGATTTAAATTCTTCATATTAACGTAACTAAAATTGAGGGCTTCAAAAAGACATCTGGCTCACTCTCTATGCAGCTTATTTCAAGGCTAATTCTTCCTTTGTTTGAAGCGCAGTGCTTGCATGTCAATGACATGGATCGAAGTTATGATTTGTAAGAGGAAAATGTGTGTATTTAAAAAAAAAAAAATTTCTCTGACTTTCTCTTGTGACATTGTATCCCTCCCAGTCCAGCCCAGTCATAACAAATAGCGTCGAAGCCTGCCTTACAAATAATCTGAATGGTGTCGATTTGCACGTGAAATACCTACGTTAATTAAACCAATTCTAATTAGCTGCAGTCGAGAGATTCACAACAAGAAGCTACGGCTTGTCATCAAAGATCGTACATAACAAGATAATCCACTAAGCCAAAAAAGTGTCGCAAAAGTCCGCGCATTGTTTCAGATGGCGATGTAGTTTTTGTTTTGAAGCTTTCGTTCTTTTCTCCAGATAAAGAATAGGAATAGCACAACTAGTTAGTATCAGTTTTGTTGTTTTCCACACAAGTAGGTCAAGGGTAACTCTGATCGCAAAGTCCGCACTTTTTCGAAGAGGGCGCCACCGGATGTTGAGGAGACTTTTTTTAATTGGCTCATTTTGAACCCCCGGGGTTGTATTCTTCACATTTTAGAACAGTTCCAGTGCGAAGATCTCTTTGAAACTTTCAATATTTCTCCAAAAAAATCATTTTGACAGACTGCTATGCAAAGCGTGCGGATCGGATTAACGAGTAAATTTTCTCTTTGGAAAATGGGGACACAGAGTTCCCCACGTCGTATGGATATGATAGTAAAACACGACGTACGGATAGCTTAGGGTTACGCTCTTTGAGTGTCATTCTGGATCATACACGAAATACCTTGAGCTAAGAACTGTCGTGAATGTAACATGCTTGTGCTTTGCGCGCTCATATTATGACTATATGAAGTTGTGAGGGCCGTAAAACTCTTAATAAGCTAGTACCTTGTGCTTTGTTGGTGGATTCTGCTGTGCGGTTTTCTTAATGTTTGCTATGATACACCTATTGGAACCATCTTTCCTTTTCATCGTATGTGCATGTTACTCTTTTATAATACCTCTAATATTTGGCATTTACATAAGCAATTTGAGTTGCAGGTGCTGCAAAACTCTTACTCAAACTAAACTAAAACCTGTAACTCTGCTTGTTTAAGGGTTTTTTCCGAGGCTTTGCTGTCCCATTTCGGCTTCTTCTTTTCGCTGATATTCGTTACAGTCGTGGTTTCCAGCCTGTTAAGTAGGCCTTACTTCGTTTCTCTTTATGTACGAGTCACAGCGTCTACCACAATGTCAGTGGGTGGTTGGCGGGTGCTCTGGTGTGGTCTGCTTCTTCTTTCCTATCAAACATCTATCGTCCTTATCTCCCCTTCTTCTTTTTTATGTTTGTTACTCTCTTGTAACACCTCTAAACTTCAGACTGGCGCTCATATGACCATATGCAGTTGCGAGGGCCGTAAAACCTCTACTAAAACAAAACAAAGCCACAATGTCAAAACTTTCACGCTACCGTGGTATCTCTTCCTGCTAACTCTGTCAAAAACGTCTACAAAATTACAGGCCTGCTGACATATCTATTGACATCTCCTTTCTTATCTCTCCATCGCGGGGGCCTCTTTTCTGACCTTTCCGAAAAATTACTGTCAAATAGGTCATGGAATTTTTCTCAGTACAATTTTCATAACGTTTGTTACTTGGTACTACACTTTTAACAGAGCTGTTGAACTCCACACAGGACCGTCAGGTATTGTTCACCTTCGTTTGAATATGATTTATATCAGAGCCCCCCATTCCCCCCCCCCCCAAAATGTAAATTAAATTAAATTAAAATAAATTAAATTAAAATCCCACTTGAAGCAGATACATCAATGGCAGAAGATCATTTCAGCAATATTTTTGGTGTCCACTATTAATTATTAGCCACACCAAAGACCCCTCCCCCCCCCCTAAAAAAAAGCAACAACAAAAAACCTGTGGGTCAACATGGTTGTTTTTCTTCAAGGTGAGGAGAACCCGTCCCTAATCTACCTTAGAGACCCCAGTTTTTAGTTTTAGTAGAGGTTTTACGGCGCTCGCAACTGCGAGAGAGTAACAAACATAAAAAAGAAGAAGGGGAGAAAAGGACGATAGACGTTTGATAGGAAAGAAGAAGCAAACCACACCAGAGCACCCGCCAACCACCCACGACCCCAGTTTGGTTTCATCAACAGACCAGAGAACACATCTAAGAAAGAGCTGCTGTCTCTTTCATGATAAGATTGCTCTCGTGGTAACCTCTGTGACAACCTGTAAGTGACAACACTTTCTGTTCTCTCTTTGCCTCCTGCCTTGTGCTAGAATTTGTCATTGTCAGATAAAATAAATGATACAGAAGTCGGCCAAAGATTGCTGTACAAGTGAATGAGATCTGCAACACGAGGACTACCGTCGGGATTTGCGAGTTCCTTATCTCTGTGAGGGCAAGAGCATGAAACAACTTCCCCACATCTGCTGCTATATACAAATGTTTTCCCACCATGTTAACCTCTGGTTCTTTTGGAACCGCAGCCCTCAACAAAATCTTAAAGTGGGTTGTTGGCGGGTGCTCTGGTGTGGTTTGCACCTTCTTTCCTATCAAACATCTATCCTACTAATCTGTCCTCCTTATTTCTGTGTGTGTTACTCTCTTGTAATACTTCTTATCATCGGAACTTAAAGACCTTATTGTGTTGCAAATGCCGTAAAACTCTTACAATGACAATGACTATGACAATCTTTATTCATCTCGAAGGGAGAAATTTGTCTTGGTCGTTAACGATGGCAGTAGGCGTTACAAAGGATAGGTGCACTCATGCATACGCACAACAAGACATGACATTAACAAATACTCGTCTCACGTGCTGAAAGTTTCAAAGAGATCTTGGCACTAGAAGTATTCTAAAATGTGAAGAATACAACCCCTGGGGAGGGGGGGGATACAAAATGGCCTGAGAGCGTACGGATAGATAGGGTTAATGAAAAGAGGTTTTACACCGATGTGTGAAGAATCTTAATCTGTTTTGAAGATCACTGGGTCGATTCTGTGGGATTTCCGAAGCAGAAACGACCGTTGTCCCAGCAAAAGGGAGCCGCCCCGCACACCGCACCTCGAGTCATCAAGTGGAATCAGGATTACTTCGAACTGAAGTCCCGACAAACCGTTAGACTCCCAGTTGGTCGCTTTTAAGCACAAGCGGGCTATCCCGAAAAAAACGCTTTTTTTAGAAAATTGAAGTTAACATTTTTGGCACTTGTTCAGTTTCTTTAAAAGACAAGGAGAGTTTTCTCTATAACCAAACAAATAAACACACCAATGAAACCAAACTTCACCTACAGATAGGGCAATGTCCACCTTTTGGTGTAGGTCAAGATTTCTGGAAACCCCCGAAATCTGGGTTAGCCGCTTGTCCTCAAAAGCGACCAATTATGGGGCTACCTTAATAACCAGATGTGTGTCCACATTTTTCCATACTCCTTTGGTGAACTGAAGCAAAAACCGGGAGCACCTTGCTCGACAATTAATGCTACGTGAGCAATGATACCGAGCAAGGGAGAATGTCTATTGTGACACACACACACGGGCACAAACACACACACACACACACACACACACGCACACACACACATACACACACAGAAACACATACACACACAGAAACACATACACACAC